TGCCCCCTATGTACTATGTATACACATATACATATGTACAATCGAGGATTAATCCGTGTATGCACTGAAAAAAAAATTTCTTGACTGGAGTGTAAATTTTCTTGACTCAAGAAAATATTAAGGAAGGTTGAAAATTTCTTGAATGAAGTTAAAGTTTCTTGAGCCAAGAAAATTTTCTTGTGTCAAGAAAATTTTTTCTTGCTCCAAAATAATTTTCGTTTTCCTTAAAATTTTCTTGGCGCAAGAAATTTGTTTTTTGTGGGTGTTATTTAACAAACGACACTTTCTCTTCTCGCTGAGCGATAAAAATTTCTTAAATAAGGAAAGTGACTGTTCTCATCCTATTTGTATTTTTTGTTTTAATTTTAGAATTATGTCTGCATCTCCAACATCGCAGAAAAATTATATTTAAAAAAGGAAGTGCTGATGATCTGGAAATATATTCCAAAACCTGGTTAGCTCGAAGATGCACCGAACTACGATCTGGACGGAGAAGTGAATAGAAGTAGAAGACCAGAAAAAAAGAAATTTAACCATTATTACTATTACTATTACCATTACTATTACTATTATTTTTATTATTATTATTATTTAATCTATCCCAAAGACTAATTTATAATACTTTTAAAATTGAGGCCGGCAATGGCTCGGTCGGCTCGGTGCTCGCTTTTGGAAAGAGTGAGACCCGGGTTCGATCCCAGCACGCACCACTATTTTTCTAAAATATGTGCGTTACATGCTACATTGCCTGCCTCTGCAAGTGGCAGAGATAGCCGGGCGGCACACGTCTGACTTGGGCGATCACTCAGTTAAGCTACAACTTAACTAAGTGATGACCACTCTAGTCAGCGTTGGCTAGCCCGAGGGATCTCTGTACACTAGCCAGTTAGCCGAAAAAATCTAAAAATATAATTATTATTAATAATATAAGAGACTATAGAAATTAAAAATTTTTATGTTTGAAAAGTAATTTTCAAAAATTTGACATATTAAAATTGAAAAATTTCAATAATAATTATTTTCTTTTCATATTTTATATTATAAATTCGATTTCAATTATCTATTAAGTATATTTAATATAATTATTTTATGTTATTTTTCCAAAATTCTGTATTGCTTTTTGTACTTGCATTTTGCCTGTTAAAAGGGATTTGTACTGCGGTGCTTAAATAAACAATTATTATTGTTATTATGCCAAATACTGTTGTTATTATTATTTTTATTAATGTTATGACAATTATATTTAAACAAATTAATATCAAATCTCAATATTAGTCTAAAATCTCGTCCAAAATGATTAAGATCTTAGCTCAAAATGATTAAGAAATCACGATAATAATACAGTCTACTCACAGCGATATTATTGTGATTTCACAAAAATTCTATAGTAAAACTGATGTGAAATCACTATAAAATCACAGTATTATTACCAAAAAAGTATGACTGAAACATTGCAGATCCAGGATCAACTGATGGTGAAATCATTGTAAATACACAGTAATATTATTGTCAACTCACAGCAATACTACTGTAAATTAACCGTAATACTATTGTGACCCTACTATAAACCGATGGTGAAATCATCATAAAATCACTGTTAGATAATAATAAAATTACAGTGAATAAATGGCACAAAACCACAGTGATTTCACTGTCATTTTACCCTAAGTTCACTATCTTTCCACGATGATCCCACCAAAATTTCACCATGATTTACGAGTAATTCCGAGACCGCAAGGGTTATTTTTACGGACTTTAAAAATTGTACATACTTAATGTTATTTGAATGTATAAAAGGTTAACAACTATAGCTGCATATTAACACAAAAAATCAAGATCTTCGTTTAAAAATAAATTTTGATTTATAAAAATATTTGTTTTGAATAAATATTAACCAATTGCTAAGTATCCATTAATTCAAGCTTCGATTCTATTTTGACAATAATCAGTAAAAATTTTTAACGGTTTAAACAATACAACTAAGTTCATAATTTTTATTTAACGTTTTCTCGGATTTACTTTCGACTTTATCTGCGCAACAAAAAACAATGACAAATTAAAATCATTCAATTTACAGATACAAACTTCTTAATAATCAATAAAAGTTATAAAAATTATCTGATACTTTAATGTAAGTCAACCGATGACCAAATATTAAATCATTGACGGTAGAAATTTTCAATTAATTAATATACGTAAAATACAAATCCATCAATAATATCAAAATTATTAATAAAATTTACCAAGATATATCCATGCTATGTTGTTAAAATAATATCGAGTAACTACTTAGTTATTAGCAGTAACGTGAACACTTCGTCTCGGGTGTTATCGAACTGATGAAAATAATAACCGTCAGCTGCTTTATCAACTTCCAAATACCATCAACAGTACTTATGTAAGACGTGGCAGTTATGCGCGACACATTAAAAGTAACCGCGAAATTTAAAAATGCACACATGTAATTACATTTATTTACTCATGATACTAAAATTAGCTGACGCTTGACAATTTTTTGATTTGTCTTTAAAAATAAACTAGGTCTAGAAAATTATTTCTAAAAAATTGCATTCATGATGTTTTAGAACCTCTAAAGATGGAATTTTTTAAATAAATTTTTCTTGCGATAATTTATTTATTAAAAAAATTCTAAAAATTATCAGATGTCTTTTACTATCAGAATCATTATTTATTGTTTAACTTTCCTCAAACCATTGTAGATTATATATGCGTGCGTCTATACGTAAGATTTAACAGTAGATATAAATTATTATTTTTTAATTTTGATAAGTTTAATCATAGGGTGATTTTCCCCCAGATATTGACAATTCGTAATCGATTATTTTACAAATTTATTAACAAACAAAATTAGATTTTTAACATACAATCTTATGAGAGATCATCATTTTTTTTAATTTTAAATTATAATATTTAAATTATTAAAGTAGATACCATAATAAATGATGTTTGAAAAATTATCTGATTCATGTAGTTTTTATAAATGCATCAAAAACACAGTGTTGACAAACGTTTAAATGAAAAATTCGCTATTACTAAACATAAAGAAATTACAAAACTTAGAATATTTTTTGTAATTTCAAAGCTGGTTACTTTCAGTAAAAAATAAATAAACGATGATTTTTGCATAAAATATGTAATAATTTTATTTAAAAAATGAGATTATTTAAAACGAGTAGATAACATTAACGGAATAATAATTGTTATCTAAATATAACCACGAAATTAAAAATATTCGTAGTGTCTCGATAGGCACTTTATAAGAGAATATTTATCAAGATTATAATTAGATGAACATGTTATACATTTTTCTCGATCCTTGTTACAAAAGAATAATGACTTATAATAAAGAAAATTTTAAATTCATATTAAAACTTAATCTATGGAGCGAAATAGAAGTGAAAAGTGAGGACAAAGAGACATGGGCGAAAGTGAGATGCGGAAATATTACACGTGCAGGAAAAAAAGGAATAAGTGATTGGAGTTGCAGGGTATGTAAAGAGCAGGAAGAAAGTATAGAACATATCTTGATGTGCGAGGAAGTAAATAAAAGGTTAAGTGAAGAATGTAAAGAGCTGATGAATGAGTGGAATGTATACAAAGGCAGTGAAAGCATTATGAGAATAAAAATAATGGAGAAACTAAAAGGAAAAATTTGTAAAAATCTATGTAAATTAATAAAAGAAATAGAAAAAATACAAAGAGAGTGCGAGAAGGATGAGTGTAATAAAAGCAGTGATAATAATAAGGTGCTGAATTTAATTCAAGTAAAACAATAAGATTGGGTCTGAATGAGTAGGATAAAGTATGAAAAATGTTAAGAAATTAATATTAAAAATAGTCTAAGAAAAAGCAATAAAAGATTAAATAGAAAGTTAAGTGTATATTGGTAGCACAAATAAAGCATAATTTATTTAATTATAGTCAACTACAATGTGTAGTAATAATAGTGCAAGCCAAAAATTAAAATAAGAGAAAAATAGAATAAAGAGAGTAAATAATCTTTTATATGAAAGAAATATGTAAATACAACTATGTGACTTTGTAAAACACAAAAATTGTGATACAAATAAAACTTATTTATTATTATTAAAACTTAATCTATCAATTGTTATTTGGCAAATATTTTATAAAATAGAAGAAATGTAAAATTAAGGGCCAGTTTTTTAATCCGGGATAAAATTTTATCCGAGATAAAAGTACTGTCAATATGATAAAAAAAAAAAAAATAAATAATTTAGCGACATGACATTGCTCTCAGTTAGTTCTCCATGAATTTGGTCATTTATTTAAATAAAAAATAAATATATCATAAAAATAATAATAACCTCTTATTGTGTCATTTAAATTAATTAATACAATTATAGATTGATAATAGATATGTAAAACGCAAGATATAAGCTCGAAGAGCTCAAAAGCACAGAACAGCGACCGCTTTGAGCTCGGAGAGCTCAAAATAACACATACATTGTAATTTGGAGCTCGATAACAGGTGCAATTTCAAGCGCTTGGATATGGATTTAGCGGGAAGGTGCAGATGGCCTTCAGGGTCACCCGTTTTCCTAATTTTTATTTTATTTATTTACAATCAGCAAGTTTTCACAGTCGGAGATAAATATTTTTTTGACTTGCGGCTAGTGTTTATTCATTTTAATTGAAAATAAGTGAATGAATTTAGAGAGAACTACTCGTACGCGATATCACTGTGCTGAATTATTTATTTTTATTATTTTATTGGCAGTACTTTTATCTCGGATTGAAAAACTGGCCCTAAAGGAAGATGATGGTAAGCTAAATTTTTTTAAACTTGATCGGATAAAATTAACGTTTGCACTCTTTGCTTGTTGAGTTTAGAAAATAATGATAATTAGATAAATATCACTTGCGCAGGACCGGAACAAAAAAGATCAAATATTAATAAATATATGTTATTGGTTATCTAACTTTGAAGTAATAAGAGATATTTATCGCAACTAAATTTATTATTCAATAGAATATTTTTTAAGAACGGCGACGAATAAAAGTAACTGAGTCTCTTCTAATGCTTTCAACTCTTCAGTATTTTTAAACTTGACTAGATTGTTAGCCACATAGTTGATAACTCCTTTCTTCAATCGTGTCGCATTATGACGATCTGCTAAAATTAGTATTCTTATAGCATTTTCAATAGATATAGTTTTAGCTAAAAAATCTTCACAGATTTCTTGAAGTCCTTGAAGCTGATACTTGTCAGACGCTTCTAATAATCTTTCAGCGAAAATGTCTAGATCTTCGACTTCATCAGTGTAAATATACTCGAGAAGTTTTCCAAATACTTCACAATCATAGAATGATTCTCTGAATAAGAAACACAGACCTCCATGTTATTGTTTTCACTTCAAATAAATCCACTCAATTGAATCTTAAAATGATAATAAATTATTTATTTAATGTTTTTATTAATTGTTGGTTTTATTTAAAATAACTGGCAAAGTATTCCAAAATAGAACAATATATAACCAGTGTGAATGTGAACTAAGCCTCAGACTATAGTAGTGTTATTTCGATTATCGATATAGTCAAGTCGATAGTACTTACGTTTCGACTGTGAGAGAATATTTAAATTTATTGGGATTTCAAAATGAACTCCAAATTAAATTGTATTTAATTTAATTAACAATTTTGTTTACATACTTACAAGAAATTAGATAAATTTTCATAGATAATCAAAATAAAACTTGAAAAATAATGAATAAATCAAAATGATAATTTTTTTAATTCTGCTCTCAAAATTTTGAAAGATAAATGCACCAACTAATATTACAATATTAATTTTAAAAAATAATATTGAGATTAGCAGACACCTGAAATATCTTTATTACAAATAAATTATAAAAGAAAATAGTTTTAAATAATATGCGCTTGTAATTTGTTCAATTTTCGAGACTTGGAATTTTTTTATAATAATTTAGTTGTCATAAAAATCCAAAAAATTAATAGATGTTTGTATATTTCAGTTTCATTTTAAAAACCATAAAATGAATGATGTCACATTATTGGATTTAAAAAAATGATATTGAATAAATATCTGACAATTTTTGATTTTTTTTTGCAGTTATAATTGTAAAGAAAACTTTTTAGAAAATTTTACCCGTCGAGATTTAAAAAAAACTGCAAGTGCAATTTTCAATAAATATTTTATTAATACTAATTTACTTCAATAAATAAAATCAAAAACTGTTCCGATCTCTGCTGATTTCAGGTTTATTTAAAAAAGTCAATAAAAATTATACTATGACTTTCATAGATCTTTTAAAAAATAAATGTTAATGATGTAATAAAAAGTATCACATTGAGAACTCGTGTTACTACCTTCTATAACTGCTTCAACATTTCCAAAAAAGTACATTCATAAAAATTTTCAAAAATACAAGTTCTTTTATCAAAAACATTAATTCTTATGGAAGTGATTATTTTTTCAGTTTATACTCTGCATCGCATTCAAATTTTTCATAGTCTTTTGGTCATTAAGAGACACAGTCCTGCAGCCGTATCAAATTACAAACTATAAATTACACACACTAATAAGCCATTAAAAATTTAATTATTATATTTATTAATCCATGCAACAAAATTCATACTAAAAGTAAAAGCTACCAGTTATCTTCATGAATTTTTTTTTTTAATCTATATTAAAACAAAAAAAGAAATCAGTATAAATATCAGTAATAATAAAAATAAAAAAATACACCAATACAGATTGCGTGGTCGCTTTTTTTGTAGTTGGACATCTTTTTATATGCAATCGAACGAAAAAAAAAAATATGGTCTTATAACAGCAGTACTGAAAAAAAAAAAAAAAAAAAAAGATTAATTAATAAAAGAAGCTTATTTTTTATTTACCTTTAAAGTGATTATAGCAATATACCGTTAATCAGTTTTAACTCTGTCGACATATTCCTTGAGTAGAGCCAAAAATAAAGCTGGATGAGACTCTTCCAGTGCTTTATACTCCTCAGTGTCTTTTAAACTAGCCAACTTGACGACTATGTAATTTTTAGTAAATTCCACCAATCCTTTTGCATTGTGACGATCTGCTAGAATCAGTATCCTGATAGAATTTTCAACAGATAAAGATTTTGATAAAGAATCTTCACAGATTTCTTTGAGTGCTAGAAGTTGATACTTATCGGACACTTCTAATAATTCCTCAGCAAAAGTGTCTAGATCGTCGACTTTGTCTGTGTAAATGTAATCAAGAACTTTCTTGAAAACTTCAGGATCAACATCTGATATAGTTATTTCATTTTTCTTGTTCTCTTCCATATTATGTGAAAACATGGCATCAAACACGCAGCTACGTGTGATTAAAACGAGCTTATGAGCGTCAAATATTACTTTACCGACTTGAATTTTTACATCACATTTCTTCTTAGCAGCCAGAAGGTCTTCAAAGTCGTCACTTAATTTTCGTATTGACGCTTTCAATGGATTTATCGGATGACTAATCGCAACATATTCATCATAGACAATCAGATGGACACCAACTGTCAAAGTATCATTTTGTAAAAATTCATCTTTTTTTTTTAACAACTCATCTATTTTTACAAACTCGGTATAACCTTTCCCAAGATTTGAATTGTTAAAAAGGGTGTTCGCATATTGATCCAATGATTGATTATAAACTTTAAATTTAATTAATATTTCTTCCTTCTTCTTATTCAGAAAAAATAATAAAAACTTTGTTCGAACTTCTCGATTTTCATTGTTTGAGTAGACATAAATTGATATCCATGATTTATTTTTTGATCCATCATTATCTTTTTGAATTCTAAGTATTAAGTACCATGAATCTTTTATTTTCGCACCAGTTGAAAATTTTGGAGAATCTATATCAACCATTTTTTCTTCCTCCCTGGCAGATTGAATAAATGAAGATATTTGATCAATTTCCCATGTGTAAGTAATCGAATGTGCCTCTGAACGGGAATAACCTTTTTCTCCTTTATGAATCAAGCTTTGCTTATCATTATCGTTCGACATAATTATTTTTCGAGCAAAATTTCAATGCAAACAATAATATAGATGCAATTATATGTTTGGTGTTTTACATCAATAAATAATAAAATTACACTAATAAGAATATTTTTCAATAACTTTACCAACTATATCTCTGCATATTGACACAAAAAATCAAGATTTTAGTTGAAAAATGAATTTCGAGATATAAATTATTAATTTTAAATAAATGTCAACCAATCGCTAAGCATCCATTAATTCACATTCCAATTCTATTTTGACAATTATCAGTAAAATTTTTTATTGCAAATTTTTAATGGTTTAAACAATACCACTAAGTTGATATTTTTAATGTAACGTTTCCTCGGATTTACTTTCGAATTTATCAGTAATCTGAAAAACAAAAAACAATTACAAATTAAAATCATAAAATTTACAGATACAAACTTCTTAATAATCAATACAAGTTATAAAAATTATCTGATACTTTGATGTAAGTCAACCGATGACCAAATATTAAATCATTGACAATAGAATTTTTCAATTAATTAATTTACGTAAAATACAAATCCATCAATAAACTTTACCAAGATTTATATCACCGCTATGTTGTTAAAATAATATCGAGTAACTAGTTATCAGCAGTAATGTGAACAATTCGTCTCGGATGTGGCTTATATCCTTTTCGTATAAGCGAAACTTACCGAAAACTTATTTATCCTAAAAGACAAAAACCGACTCGCCATCTACAGAAAAAATTTTTTTCCTATGTGTAATGATTCGATAAGTCAATTCTCGATCGGACACTATCCGAAAAGCATGTTGACTTTTTTGCAGAAATATATTTTGCAAGAAAATCAACTAACCGGAAAGACATTATCCGCATCGTCATCAATAGAAAATTATTAAATCCTCTTCGTTATGATCCGAAAAGTAAAATCTCGATTGAACACTATCCGAAAAATTACTACTTCAGAGAACAGTAGATAATATAGAAACTTTTATTTGCTACTCAGCAAAATAATCAGTAGGTACAGAAGAAATTAGTGAAAAAAAATTCTTGTGATTTTTTGAATTATATGTCCACACACGAAAAAAAAATGTTGTTGCATTATGTTATAGTTTTTAATTACACAATTATAAATTTAATTGTGTATAAAAGACAATAGAGAAGATGAGTTGTTCGAGATTTACAGTATACGAGCAGCTAGTATTTTAATAATCTTTTTTTTAATGCGAGCGAAAATTTCGGTAAGATCCCTGGAAGAAGTTGACAAAAAATTATATAGTAATATCTATTTTTTATTCGAAAAAATTAGTTATTAATAATAACACTAAAATTTTTAATATTTCTTAAAAAATTTTTATTTCGATATAAAAAAAAAGGATAAACATTTTTCTTCTTGTCAATTACATGTGAGGATAAGACATTTCTCAAACAGCAAAAAATGTATTTTGTGTGTTATTTAAAATAAAGTATTATAAATTCTTAATTAAGTTTATTCTGATATATCTTGATTATTTTTTATTAAGCAGAAGTACTATTATTGAATTGCTGAGATAAAAATTATACGGACGTTCTTATAACGTACGTTACAAAAATACAAAAACTTTGTCTATTACCATTTGAAATTCACATTATCGACTGGATAAACTTGTTGCTCGATAATATAGTTTTTTTTTCATCATGTGAGAATATTTTCGGATAGTGTCCAATCGAGATTTTATTTTTCGGATCATAACGAAGAGGATTTAATAATTTTCTATTGATGACGATGCGGATAATGTCTTTTCGGTTAGTTGATTTTCTTGTAAAATATATTTCTGCAAAAAGTCAACATGCTTTTCGGATAGTGTCGAATCGAGATTTGACTTTTCGAATCATTACACATAGGAAAAAAAATTTTTCTGTAGATGGCGAGTCGGTTTTTGTCTTTTAGGATAAATAAGTTTTCGGTAAGTTTCGCTTATACGAAAAGGATATAAGCCAATCTATAGTATAGGGACCGAGCCTCTAGACTATCACGCCAACTGGTGATAGAAATTGTAAGCTAATGGGCAAAAATTTTAAACTCTTGCATGTGATTTAATGTTAATTTATTTTTTATTTAAATAAATTAATAAATTGTTTGAAATTTTTTTAACTGTAGAGTTTTGACATATCACGACATACATAAATATATCAAGTCGGAACCGTCAAATTGACAAACTTGTGAAATTTTATTATTTTTCGCTCAGTACTAGTGGTATCCCAGAGAAAAATGACAGGCATACGAAGTGTTTAGAGGCGGAATTGAACTTTGGAGGTTATGTTTACATGGCTATTTGACTTAATAATGTTGAATTTCTTTTAACACATTTAATATACATGGCCTAAAGTTTTTTTTAACTTTCTCAATTATTTTTGCTTCCAATACGGCCGATTAATACTGGTCAAAAAGCATATTTTATTATTTTTTCTATTATTTAGTAAAAAAATACATAAGCTATTGTAATACTTTTTGCCCATTTAGTGCTTTTGTTAAACACCAGGGCGCGCCATTTCCGACTGATGTGCTGCCTCTACAGTTAGCGCTCGGTCCCTATAAATGAATAAGAAACTTGAAATAAATTAAAATTTAAATGAAGAAAAAAAAACATTGTTATTTTTGTAAAGTTTTATTAAGTTGTTCAATAAAGTTTTCATCCAAATAACAAAAGATATTTCTTACAAAAATGTCTGGAAGTTTACCCGAAAAAACATCATTTAAAAATAAATAAACATTTCTTACCCTATCCTGCCTAATTTAAACTTTTAACAGTGTTAAAAAATAAAAAATCAACTTAGTTAAATATTTCACATTCCGTTTTAAAATCGATGGAGGAGTTTACAAGGAAAAAAGTATATAGTAGCTCCAAGAGGACGCCATTCTTTGAAAGCAACAGGACAAAATTCTGTGGTAGTATCAGGACTTTTTCCGTGGAAGCGACAGGATTTTTTTATGTGAGAGGAACAAGACTTTTTATATGAGTTTAACAGAGTAACAGCGTGTATCTGCACCATGACTGTCTTGCTACAGACAAGTTATTATCATGATTATTAGTATTATTACTAATAAAAAATCTTTAATTTCATTACTGACTATAATGTTAACATTTGAAATTTCAGTTACATATTTGTTTTTATAATTGAATTTTAATTTTATTGAACGATTGTTTTAAATAGAAATAAAAAGTTGGACTTGACCAAATTTTCAATAACAATTAATGTTAAACGAGAAAAAAATTTTTTTATTCGATTTTTGTTTTAACAGATTGCAAGTACGTTTTAGTTGAATATTGAAATCAGTAATGAAATAAGTTAATGATAGAATTAATGGAATTCAGATAGAAAATCAAATTACAGATTTCTTCAAAGATTAATGCGGTATTAATTTAATTATTTATTCTTATCATGAATTAACAATTCCTAAGCTTTAAAAGGTGATACAAATAATCATTTAATTCAAAAATACTTGTTAGCAAATATCTTGTTGCTTATTAGATTATTAAAATAATAATTAAAATAGTTATTATAATTATAATTAAAATAGGTGTTTAATTTTTATACACATATTAATTCAGGTCATTTTTTAAAAATTTTTTTTTTTATTCAGAATCTGATGATTAAATAGAACAATTTACAGAAGAATGTTTTTTACAGATATTTTTGAGTAAAATAAAATTATTAATAAGCAAAAAAAAAATATTCCATCCTATTTTTAATAGAAAATGGAAAATATTAAAATAGATAATATCTGTAATCAACAACTTGAATAACAATTTTTATTTCAAGTTAAAAAAAAAAAATAAACATTTTCATTAAAATGAAACGCACTAATTTTATATCATTTTTGCATAAAAAATATCAAGAAAACATAATAATCAAATTTAAAGTATCCTAATACAAAAATATATTGAAAAAAAATTAAATATCAGAGATAATAACTCCTCAGAATTTTTGTGATAAAGTATCACATATCCTGAATATTTCCTCAACCATGTGTTTTTCTCTTTTTAATATTATTTTCATTTTTAGATTTTTATTTTTCAGTGTTTATTTTGGATAATATCGGATTTGACTTAATCCAACGACATAGATGATGTTTTGAGGAGTCCAGAATTTAAAACTTATGGTTTTTACCTAAAATTATAAATTTCTAATAATTTAAAATTTAATTATAAAAAATGCTAATTATTTCAGAATAATAAAAAACTAATTGATAATTGATAATTTTTCATAAAAAAATTGAAATTTATCTCAATAAAAAATTAAAATTTTAAATTTTCATTCTGATTGATAATTATTAATTTTTAAACTGAGAATAAATTTCTCATGATTAAATAATTGAGATTTATCAATTGAAATAATTATTAAAATAAATAAAAATATTCGTACATCTAATAAACAAATAATTTTTAGATAAAATTATGATAAATTTAGCTAACCTCAAGCAAGATGTTTATTTTTCTTGTTTCTCCTCAGTAGCCGTAGCGGCAAGCTTTTCCTCGTCTACTGGCGTGGGTGGTGCGTTCTTTTGTGGCGGCATTCGCTCGTTAATAGCGTCCAGACGCTTTACTTCGTCGAACGATAAGTTTTTGTAACTTTTGAGCGCTGTAAAATATTTCATTACAATTATTTATCCTGTCTGCTCACATACATAAATGATATCTGTAATCCAGGTAAATTGTCTAGATAATCATTTATTATGTTCTATTTATTAAAAATTTTTATATTACTGTTTTCCAGAGACACCCTGCCACCGGACAGTGCTCCCAAAGGAAGAAAACCCGTGGGCGTAAGTCCTTTCAACTTCAAGACAATCTCACTCTGTTCTCTGAAAAATATTATTATTGTTACTGTATTCTTAAAAAAAAAGTATACATAAAAATGAATAAATAATTTACCTGAGGACGGAAAACAGTCGAGCCATTCTTGCAATTGCCTTTACCTTGTTTCTGATAACTTCCTTGCGTAAATTTGTAGCTGCATCAAAACCAATAAAACAATAATCAGTGTAGTATAATAAAAAATAAAAACTATTTTTCAATAAAAAAAATAAGAATATTTTTTAATGGATAAGGAAAAGTTATTAGCTTAAATAAATTTATTAAGTATATTTAAACAATTCTATTTCATGATTGAGTCTTTATTTTTCTGATTTTTTTTCACTTATTTAATTTTTTTCTTTTTTTAAACAAAAACAACAGGTATCAGTAAGACAAGACGTGTTTTACCTTCTTCGAGGGAGGCATCTTCGTCACTCATCAGCTCATCATCGGTGCAAATATTCAATACACTAACTAACATATCAGTAACTGTAAAAAATAAAATCATATTATGTGATTTAATATAACGCGTGCCTAATTCAAAAAGGCCATTCGGCAGCCGAAATGGAAGTAGATTTCATTTTAATAATAATAATAATAATAATAATAATAATAATAATAATAACTCCCATTTTTTCCCGCTTCACAGCATTATTTAAATTTGTTAAAAACCGCCCCACTCTTGGTGAAACGCCCCCTTCTACATTTATTTTATTGAGAACTGATGAGAACTCGATTTTTGAAAAACGGGGTAAAACCAATAACTTTCCGATTTTTGAAAATTTTAAATTTTATTAGCGGGAAGTTAATAAAAAAATTTTCACTTATAAATAACTTTAAAAAAACTGTAATAGTAATTTAAAAAAAAAAAAATTTTTGTTATAATTTAATTATTAAAAAAAATCAAAAAATT